TCGATTTTAAAAGACCTTATAACTGAAAAAGATCAAGAAATAAATGTTATTGATCAAAGTATTAAAAATCAAAAAGGTATCAGAAGTCAATCAAAATGGTGTAAAAAATGCAATATGACCAACATTGAAAATAAAAGACATACATGCCCTAATTGTAATGAGAAATTAGATACATTAGCTACGTTACAAGCGGAATCTGCTGAGGAGCTTGCACGACTTAATAATACAGACTCTCAATCAAAATCTCTTATAATTAAGTCCTATTTGTATACTTACAAACAAAAAAGCTCTCATTTCGAACGTATTAGTATTATCCAATGCTCAGAACCTGATAATGATGTTATTGTTCCAGAAATGCATGTGCCAGATCCATTAGAATGTAACCCTAATTTAATAAATAATGTAAAAAAGGTTTTAGAGTATATACAGAATATTACGGGAATAAGCCAAGGAGCACGAAAATGGCTACCAGTTACTTGCGATGGTGTTCCTTATAATCTAGCTCAAAAGATTAAAAAAGACTTCTCGTGGCTTATACTAATTCCTGGTGCCCTGCACGAAGAAATGAATATGCTCAAGGCATTTGTAGAACTAAATTGGTATTATTATTTTTTTTTTAATATTTTTATGTTATTATAAAATTAATATAACATTTTTGGGCTTAGCATTCAAATAATTCTAATTTATACTTACGTATTCTTTTAAGGATGATTGATATCAAGAAATTTGCTAATATTCAAGGATACAGAACTGAAAATCAACTTGGATATTTTAAAAAATGCATTGACCATCACAAATCGTGGGACTCTATTTGCAACATTTATTGATATGCTATTATGTGTGAACTATTATGGCCGTACATAGTCGTAACTGAAAATCTCTTGGTTGATGGTTATCTAGATTGGGCAAAAAGACAAAATGATTATATATATATGTTGAAATTTGAACAAGTAAGATTTAAGTAAAAAAAAAATAAAATAAAACAAAATATATTGTCTAAAAATTCTAGTTAATAATTATTATAGGCTTTTATCTACCTCCATGCAATTATAAATTTTCGTACAGGTGTTAGAAACAATCGACCATTGTTAATAAGTACTGCTCAATGTATGTTTGCTCCGATATGGTCTGGTCATAGACACCCTACATCAGGAAATTTTAAAGCCAGATTATAATCAGTTGCAAAACAGTTAATCGATTATAATCAATTGGCTTTAAGCGATTATAACGATGGTGGTGTTGATAATTGATTTATATCAAAATTGATAATAATCAGAAATCATAAAAATAGATATAATTTATAAGATTATAATCGATAGCAATAATTTATATCAATTATAATCGATAAAAAGCTAATCGATTTTAATCGACGGTGGCGATAAAAATCGTTTAAAATCCTTAAATTTTAATTGATTATAATCTAATTTTAAATTTTCCTGATGTATATACCACTTACTTGAGATAACCTACGAAGAGCAATTGATGCGGTTAAAACCTGAAGTTAGACAACGCATAGAATCATACTTAGTTATTTCATGATCGGGATATTGTAACCAACATCAAGGCTTTGATGCTATTCTTGAAGAAGTTAATAAATCTTTGAAGGCTTTGATTCCACCTGTACCTTCACAAAAACATTGGATAATAGTGGCATGGAATTGTATAAAGTTTATAAAGGTTAGTGAATTATATTTGACAACTATACATTTAAATAAAAAATTATATTTACAA